CTGCCCCTCCGACGCGGTCTCTCAAGAAACAAAATAAAAAACAACAACAAATAGAGCGTTTTACAAGGGGAAATAAAAAAAAAACTCTCTCCTCTACAAATAAAAATCTAGAAGCAAATTATTTCCAAAGGCTCCTAGCAAGAAAAAAAAAACAATGCCTTTCACACATGACGCCTTGGATGTCGCCCATCTTGTTAGAGGGCCACCCAAAGAATCCATCCAACACAAATACCAACCAACTCGCGACAAACAAAGCCTCCGGGAAGAACTTATAGTTTAAAACACCCCTTTTTAAAATATTTAACAAGCAGCTACAATTGCAACCACAAAGAATAAAGTAGTGGAAACAATGGGAAAAAGCACATTGTGCAAGCGACTAATATCATACGGCAAGTAGGGTGGTGGAATTCGCTCCGCCGGTTTGGTATCTTCACCTGAGTGGCTTTTGTCTCCACTGTGGCCATCCTCCTCCTTTTGTAGTTGGGGACACACTTCGATGTGCCTTGGGCACAAGATCTTCCCGCTCGTGAAGAACCCGTCTGGCGCAATACTGCCACCCTCCGGGCACGCGTGCCACGTGTCATCGCCAAGGTACCGCACATTCACCCTGTCGTTGTCGCACGACACCTCAGCGCACACGTCGCCGAGACTGCCCTTGGGGTCACGCAGCCCCTCCCCCTTGAGGCACTTTGACTTTGGGCCAACGCGGCTTCCGTGCATAAGGTCTGCCGAACCATCGATGCACCGCGAATTTGTATACGGCTGAATGTAAGGGCAGTAATCCATCAGGTTTCCAGAAGACCCGCCAAGTTGGGGATCCGCAAAGTACCGAAACTGTGCGGGAAGAGGGTTTTGGTAGGTGTAAATAGTACAGTGCCCCAGGGCCAGGCGATCCGACGTGCACGTATAATGTTTGATTTCGGTGCCGCAAAACATTTCCGGATACTTGCTGACGCCGTTGGTCAGGCACTTCTGCGTCAGCAGCTCGCAGCCGGAGTTGTTGCCCCATGCCATCGGCTCCGCCATCCCCCACTGCGCCTGGTAAAAGCCCATGTCCACAAAAACAGCCATTGTCAGTGCCGTGTAGTAGCCGACTCCAGAAATGCCAGACATCAGCTCGTCCTTTGCGTTGCGTCTCTTCCAGTGCGACAATGCCGTTCCATTCCCACCCTCATCCTCCAGCTCCATTCCAGGGGCACTCATGCAGTTGAAGTGCGCACGAGCCTTTTCCAGTACCTTCGGTGAGGACACAACGAGCACGCTGTTTTTTTTCCACGTAGCCCAGATGCATGCGACACCATCTTGTGGCGCTGCATCACGTTAATATGAAACCCAAGGGTGTGTGCGATCTCATGCACGGCAACACGAACACTGCTCTCCGAATCGTTGGCTGACTCCGGGCCAAAATTTATCACCCCGACAACTGGACGCCCAGTGTGCAATTCAGCACACCCCAGTGCCCACGCAATTGCATGACCTTCAGTCGGAGCAGCAGCGGCGTACAAAAGCATGTCCGCACCGGACACACCCGTTGTGTGGTGGGACCTGGGTATTGCAAACGCACCGCATATATTTCCGGCCCCAAACTTTGGTACAACCAGCGTGCCCGTCAACGGTTTAACTTGGAGACGGTCCACGTGCATTTTGATGGCTCGAGGAAGTATCCTATTCAATATGACGGTTTTTTTTCGTCCGTAAAAACAGCCTGCTGCCGGCACACAACGGTGCCTCCAGTGAAATCTGACCGGGTCTCTCCCGCAACGGTGCAGTACTTCGAAGGGTTGTTCATGGCCTCCGAGAAGACCTTAAAACGGATGGGCGCCCATCCAGGCACAGAAGCAGTCAACACCTGCGCCCCGCCGCGCTCCCGGCCGGGCAATTCACGCACAAGTGCTCTCCTTCGGGGACCAGCCTTGCGAGAAATGTGGTCAAACATGCAGCGATGCTCAGCGGCGGCAAAAAATCCGGCAAAGCAGCAGAGCAGTAGCAACAGGACGTGCAGAGTGTGACGCATTTTCGTGCTTTTTTGTTATTGTTGCGCAAAGCTTCAACCCCTTCGTCTTTTGTGTCGTTCCCTTGCTTATTGTGTCGCTGCACTGTGATTTGTGATTTGTGTCTTGTGTGAGGCCACGAAGGAGAAAGGAAAGGAGGCGGCGGCGGCCCCGCTGGCGCACTCACCCACACGCACCAAAGGCGCCGCTGCCAAGACGCGCCCACGGCCACCCGCTTTCAGGGAGCGCACTAAGCAGAAAAAAGGGCAAACAACACCGTGGTTCCCTGCCACCGTATGTGAGGGGCAGTCCGGTATTACATTTACTGTTGCCACTTGGACACCGCTCTTCAAGCAAAAGGGATCCAGTCCCTTTGTGGCCTTTGATCCCGAGGGCCGCAATCTACGCCGGTGAGGTGTGCGGTGTGTGTGTGTGTGTGTTTGTGTGTGTGTGCGCCATGGACACCATTCGGTGTCATGCGTGAGACATAAGCACAGGGTAATCTCTGAGGTGCAGGTGGTCGTGATACAACTCTGAGGATGGGTCCAGAACAACCCCAAAGAGATGAATGAAGGAGGCTGACGAGCAAATAGCCAAAATATTTTCGTGGTAGCCAAAGTAAGTTCTGTTGGCTCCCTCAAGAAGCCAATTTTTCAGACGAGTGAGTGAAATCCCTGCGAGCAGGCCCCCAACTCTTTCTCTTTGTTGTGTGAGGGGTCGGGCCTCACCTGGCAGTCAAGCGCGTTTCAAAGGTCCATCCGCAATTCTGCGATGCCGCTCGTTCAACTGCCACGTATCCAAAAAATGCTGATTTATGCTCGAAGCCACGTGTCGCTTTTGTTACTGCTTCTGCCGCGCCACGGTCGCGTCCCGAGGGGTAGAATAGAAAACTACGAGAGAGAGAGAGAGATGGAAGGAGGGTGCCTCTCGCACCCAAGCCTTAATTGGGCACCACGGGAAGTAGCGTGGTCTGTCAGGAGAAGACGTCTTCCCCGCAGAACTGCTCCGCCGAGGACTCCTCCACGGGCGCCCCCTTCGCCACGGCCGTGCCGGGAGGAGGAAGCAGGCCTCGTCGCATCGACGTGCCGCCACGTTGCCGAGCCGCCCCTCACGCGCCCCGCCTCTCCGCCTGCTACCGCGCCATCCGTGCGGGGCCGCCTTCGCGGCCGCGGCGCCGTACGCGTCCCGCACTTGCACCGAGGCGGCGTGGAGCCGATGGGCCCGCGCTCCGGCTCCACCTCATTTGCCGGCGCGCAGCGCGGGCGGTGCGGGTAACGCCATCCTGGCGCACGGACGGTTCCGCATGCCTACAAGCGCCCGCCACAACGCACACCTGGTCCGCGGTTGGCAGCAACTGAACTTCCCGCCACCGAAAAAGGAAGAAGAAGAGAAAAGGGAGAAGTTGCAAATGGGTGTGGACCAGGACAAAAAACACACACACACACACACACACACAAAACAGAACGTACCGACAAAATAACAAAAGAACAAAAAAAAAAGAAAAAGTTCCCTCCTTCCCACGGTGGAAAGAAACAAAAAAGAAAGGGGGAAAAAAAGATTCGCATTATTGGAAGAAAACACATGGATATCCATAACTACTTGAGCATATGAGTTTGATCTGACGTATCGGAGGAAATAGATAGAGCAGCAATATACGCAAAGGCGCAAAGGTACAAAGATGCACAGATAGATATAGATGCATGTGCATATAGGACAGAATACAAGCGTATCTATACATATCACTGATAGGTTGGGTGGCTCAATTCTCCTCCCGCGCGCTTTCGACAACATTCACGGCGCATGGAACCATCGCTTCACTGTCCTCAATTGGATTCTCGCCCGGCAACCTCGAGGAACGCCTATCGTAGGAAACTGTGAACGATTCACTTCTTATCATCCATTTTCCCTCAGGACTCACCACAAAGGATATAAGCACTGAAAACAGAGCACTGAATGTGCCAATCACTGCCCCTGCCACAATATCGGCGAAGTGGTGGTCATTGTCGCGGGTGCGGGAGATGGAGGTGACAAGAGGGAAGGCGAGGGGAAGCAGAGAGACCCCTGCGGTGTAGAGTGCGCCCGTGCGAAGAGTTCGCGTCAGGCCAAGCAAATATAGCACCGGTGGGACAAACCCGGCGAAAGACGACCCAGTGTGGCCCGACGGAAATGACAATCTTCCCTCGCGGGCCGCACGACAGACCTGCTCGTGCGTGAATTGACCAAAGTTGTTTTCCGTGATGCCTTCCTTGGCCAAGCGGTGAATGAAATCCGGTCGCAGCCTCCCAGCGTACAGCTTGCAGAGGTTCACCACACAGAACTCAAGGCAAACGCTGAACGCCTGCACAAGGATCCACGCATTCAGGTGCCGCAGCATCACACGCCGCCCATGCCCCCGCCAGGTAAAAAACTCCCCCGCAGCGTAAATGAAAACGACAAGAACCACGGCGATGATGACTGAATAAGTGGGGAACGTCTCGGGATCTTTTTCGGGCCTGTTGATGCTGGTGTCGCTGAAGACGAATGAGCGGCAGTGTGGCTGGACAAGCGTGCCGACGGCCGCCGCGACGATGCCGAAGAAGATGCAGGTAATGTAATCGAAAACCCTCCACTCCCGCACAAAGTCCATCTTTCAAGACCCGCCTGTCACCCAAAAGAGGGTTCCCCTGGGGGATGAACAGCCAGGAAAGAAGTGGAAGAAGAGAGAAAAGGCGCCGTTGCAAATGACAGGGTTACAGCAAAAACACAACAACAACAACAAAACGCCACAACAAGCAGAACTCAGTTTTTTAAAAGTTATTTTAATTCCTACTCAACGCTGCGCCCCAGAAATGCATACAATTGTTGTTTTCCTTTGCCGCCATACTCGCACGCAATTACATGCCTTGCACTCCCATCCAATATGCATGGCCCAATGTGCAAAGTGGAAAGAAACAACAAACGAAAGAAAATGTTCCACGACAAATTGGCTCTTCGATATATTCCTTCCACGTTTCTACAGTGTATGCGCTGGAGGCGGCACTGTCCTTTCTTCACACAAGGAAAACGTGCTACAATGGTAGACTACGCCCAGCTTCCGCGTGCTCGCTCGCCCGACCCCGTTGAGATTTACTTCACGCTTACACACCAGCAAAACAAAAGAATACGTGGTGGCGCCGTATAATCGTCAACCCCGCGGTGTGAGGTCACGCAGTGGAAGCCTTTGGGGGCTCCCCGCAACCGCCCCCCCCCCCCCCCACCTCAGCCGGGCTGGCAGGGCGGCAAGGCGGGGGAACAGAACCACAGAACTGCACTCGCTGCCCTCCGACGCGGTCTCTCAAGAAACAAAATAAAAAACAACAACAAATAGAGCGTTTT